CGTGGTGTGGTGGACATGGCTTGGTGGGCGTGGCAGGGGAAGGATACTGCAAAATCTCCATTCCCACCCCATTCCTGGGGGAAGGATATTGCAAAATCTCCATTCCCACCGGGGCCAGCCAGAGGTGGTATCTGCTGGTTCTCCAAACTACTCAAAATTTCCACTACCAGTTCTCCAGAACCTGTTAGAACCTGCTGGATTTCACCCCTGGTTTTACCTATGTGGGTTTTTGCGGAAAAATCCCAGAACTGACTTTGCTTCTGCTGTGCCTAGATGGATCTTTCAATAAAGCTAGACTCTTGGAGATTCTAAAGAGCTGGGAGTTTCTTTTGTTGAATGTGCCAAATGGGACGGTTGGCACTACCCATATTTGAACTTTCTTTCTTAGAAGACAGATGTCAGAAATCTGAAGTCTCTATCTGGTAAAAATCTCAATTATTTTATCTCCACATTTTAATGGAATGTGTTTCTCTTAAAGTATGTAGATTTAATTACATCACATGGTATATTTCTTGAATTTATTTTATAAATTTCTTGAATTTGTAGTGATTCATTTTATCTAAATCAAAATATTATTTTTAAAAATGTTCTATTTCCTTTTTAAACTATCTCTTTCCTCTTTTATTTATTTAAACTTTAAATTCGTTCTATTCAGTCCTGTTTCTGTGTCTATTTCATGGCTCTGGTTTCTCTGTTCTGAGAAAATTTTTATTGTCCGATTTATATATCTTTGAAGTATTTATCATGTTGTTCTAGTTTAGATGTTAATTTATTGTATTTGTTAAATCAGAGAAATCCAGGTTAGTGTCTAAGTTTTGTCGGTTTTGTTTACACTCTTTATCATTATGCATTATTAGCTCTCTACTGAGTTTGACTGGCTTGCAAAACTTTTAATGTCTAGTGTTCCTTACATTTATATTTGCTGATTTTTCTGTCCCTTTGCTAATTCATCTGTAAAAAGACTATTTTCATTGAACAAAGATGAAACAATCATTCCTTTCTTGAATAAATGTTGTTGAGCATTTTAGAATATTTAGGAAAAAGGAGTCGGAGTAAGACAGGGAAAGCTTTGATTTCACTAGTGAGGCTTTATTCTTAAACAAGTTATTGTTTTTCTTTGCTTTCCTGAAGCTGCAAGCCTTTTTTTAGCAGCTAGGCACACCCAAAAAAGGTAAATTTGCTGCTGACACTATAAAGTAAATATTTAGGGGGCAATCCATATTATTGTCTATGAGAGTTAGGCAACCTGTATTAAAAAAGGAAAAAGCACTTTTGAAAAAAAAACCCATTTATGTCAATGTATGTAGGAGATACATTTGTACTTTGAGACCCAACTTATTTCTGCACAATTTTATTTAATTAATATTCCTCAAAGGGAAAGATTTACCAGCATGCTCTTCAACAGTTTCCACAGAATCTAAAGAAAGCTTTCAATAAATTCCTTTTAAGGTTTTTCTGTTAAGTTAACTTAGAATTCATAGCAATAAAAATGACCTGCTTGTTCATCTATTCTTTTAGCCCTGAGGTGGAAAACAAGGAAGCAAGGCACTTGTCCTGGATTCCCATTGTTTTCTATGTCTAGAACAGTAAAGATGGTTTATTTTTTGTTTTAATAAAAAACGCAACGTTTGAGTTGTTTTGAAATTTGTTTGCACCAAGTTGAGTGCAGCTAACTCAGAAAATTTCAACAAAATATTATAGAGATATTTTATTAAAACAACCTTGTTTTCTATTTCAAGCATATCACTGCTCAAAAGACAAAGCTACTCATGGAAATAGAGAAGAGTGCAGAAATAAGACAAAAACAGAGAAGAATGCAGAAATGAGAAACTTATTTCAAGTGAACTCCCACGTGTGCTAGATTCCCTCTTGACTGAACGTTTCCCAGATAGACATACAACACTTAGGTGGATAGTGTCAGATCCCTATCATGATACTGGCATTTCTGTGGGGAGGGGGGCCTGGATCATTTATTCATTTATTACCCTCTTCCTTTTCCCTACATATCCTGTAATCCCTTAGTTCAGTGGTTCTCAACCTTCCTAATGCAGTTAGGAATGCACTTTAATACAGTTCCTCATGTTGTGGTGACCCCCAACCAGGGGTGGGTTCTAATTTTTTTTTACTACTGGTTCTGTGGGCATGGCTTATTTTGTGGGTGTGGCTTGGAGGTCATGTGACCGGATGGCCATGGCTATGTATATAGGGACTACTCAGAAGGCTGAAAAAAGACATTTCTGACAGGTCCTCGTACTTTTGACTGGTCCTCACACTTATAACCATCCTCACATTTATGCCCGTGCAGCATTCTTAACAACCATGTCACTCATTTCACAACTGCTTCTTTTCACCATGGTGATAAGATAGGGCAAAAAATGTAAAATGTGAGGACAGTCGTAAGTTCGACGAGTGGTCAAAAGTGCAAGGACCAGTCAAAAATAAGTTTTTCAGCCCTCTGAGTAGTCCCTGTGCACAAAAGGACTACCCAGAGAGCTGAAAAAAGTGATTTCTGACAGGTCCTCGCACTTTTGACCGGTCTTCGCACTTATGACTGGTCATCATTTATGCCCATTGTAGCATTCTTAACAACCGTGTCACTCATTTCACAACTGCTTCTCTTCACCATGGTGACAAGATAAGGCAAAAACATAAAATGTGAGGACAGTCGTAAGTTCGACGAGTGGTCAAAAGTGCAAGGACCAGTCAAAAATAAGTTTTTCAGCCCTCTGAGTAGTCCATATATAAAAGGATACAGCAATAGAGAGGAATGAAGGAAGGGAAGGGAAATTAGAGTAGGAGTGAGGGTAAGAGAGGGAGGAAGAGAGGAGGAGAAAGAGAAAGGAAGAGGAAGTAGGGAGGAGAAAAGGGGGGGAAGAGAAAGTAAGAAGGAAAGAAAAGAGAGAGGTGGTAGGTTTGAGGAGAAAGATTGCTGTACAATAAAAAAGATGAAAGGGAAGAAAACCAACCCCAAACAAATATGAAGATATTAAGATAAAGAATGAATTGTTAAACTTTAAAGAATAAAAGAGAACAAATATGAATAAATAGCAATAATTAGAAACACACATACAAACATACAATGTATTTTCTTTGAACAGAGTATTTGGACGGTTCACAAATTTAAACAGTGTTTAGTCATTTCAATTAAATTTACAATTTCTATATTTTCTTTTTGCCATATTTATTCCTCATCTATTTTTAAAAAAAACCAATATTACCCTTCATCCTCATCTTTAATCTTAATCAAGTTCAATTTTTCCCTTCTATTCTATATTATACCCCTTCGCATTGTCATCTATTTTTATATCCATCCTCACATTGGTTAATTATGTAATTATGTAATACAGTTGTTTAATATAAATTCAACATTTTAATATAAATCAATTAGTTATATAACTATCTTTTTTGTATATTAATCAATATGAACATGAATATTCCAATTATTTCCATGCAATCCAATTTCTTACAAATCAATTAATTATATTTACCAATAATAAACCAAATAATTTCCCCCATATATTCCTCCAAACCACAACTTAACCATTTCTGCTTTCAACACAATATACAATTAATAGTATCTCAATTATTACAATTCCCTAGTTAAATAGAGCTTTTTTTCTTTTGTGTTTTAAAATCTTGAACCTCCTTTTTTGCCCTAAATTTCCCATTGTTTGCAGTTTTGCACCTACCTCTTTTTGGTGAGGAAAAAGAAAAAGAAATCTCTCTCTGCCTCATTTTGTCATGTTGCAGTTTCAGTTTCGTTTTTTCAGCATAGCTGGGGGGGGAAATCTGCTCCAGATTTTTTTGCACCTAGCAACAGAGCCCTCCGCAAAACAGCTGAGAGCAAATCAGCTGAGAGTCGAGGCTGATCTAATCAACTTGTGCTAATTAACCTATACTGAAGCTGAAAGGGGCTATTTTTTCTATTTTTGCAGGCACCGGTCTTATAGCAGTTTCAATCTTATTCTTGCTTTTCCCCCTTGCCGGATATATTTTAGTATCATTTTGTTTAATTCTTCAAAGAATTTTTTTCCTAATTTTATCAGAATTGTTTGAAATAAGAACAACAGTCTTGGCAAAATGATCATTTTTATTGTAGCTATCCTTCCTATCAATGATAGTTTCAGGTTTTTCCATTTCTCCAAATCTAATTTGATTTGTTGTTAACAGGTTTCATATAATTATCTTAATAGTTGTGCATCTTGCTGTTAGCTGAATTCCTAGGTAAATACCTAGGTAAATACCTAACTTTCTTTACTATCTGAATGTCTATTTGCTCGTTCTATTTTCTTGGCCCCACTTTCTTCTTGCCATAAAGTCTTTTCCACATTTACTAGTTCTTTTTGTCCTTTAGGTTCTACTTCCTCTCCTCTTTCCGGTTCTTCAGTAGTTCCAAATTGATATTCATAGAATTCATGTGCTTTATCTAATGAGTCCAGTCTGTATCTTTTTTCACTCCAAGTTACTAAGATTCCCTCTGATGTAACTATCTGAAATTTACATTGTATTTAATCAGCTGACCTGTCAGGAATTGGTATTGTCTTCTTCAGTTTCTTACTCTTCTTGGCACCTGTTTCAGCACCACTATTTATTTGCTTTTATATTGCAGTGGTTCATCTCTTGCTTTTTATGCCACCTTTTCTTGTTCTCCCCAGGTTATACCTACCATCTTATTTAGCAAACTAGGTCTAGGAGATTCCCTATCTTTCCTGTCCTTCAGGCAGCTGGGCACACTGTTGGACTGCAGGGAAATAAGATGGTAATAGCTTCTTTATTTCTCACAGCAACTAAAGCAATGTTACTGAAAGAAAGCAGAAGATAGGGCCACTTCCACTGTGACATAAACTTTAAAAATTCTGTCCTGATAACACATGATCCCAACTTTGATTCATTTCTAGATGTCCCTGTTTGAAAATGCCTCCCAGCACCATGGCAGAAAAACAGAGAAGCACATGTTAATTCCACCTGTCCTAAACATGGTAGGAAAAAGGAATTCTCACCTGGTGATGCTTGCCCTGGATTTTGGCTCGAGCAATCTCAGAGCTGTTGCGCCGGGGTCCACGTCTACGACGAGCATAGTTTGCTTCTTGGAGCTCTTTTATTTTTTTCCTTTGCAGACGTATTTGGTGGCTACAGCTCACATTATATCTATTATGACCAGAAATAAAACATAATTTCTGTTCCTTAGAAATAAAATAAAGCTTCTTTTCCAATCTATTAGTATCTAGGCATTCATGCTCTAAATTATTTGTTTAGGAGTCATAAATTTCAAGAAGATCCAATTATCACTACCTTTTTGCACATGTTACAGAACAGAACCTCTTGGAACCACGGAACTGACTGGCAGGGCCATATTTGCCACAGAACTCACATTTCAGCAAGTTTCCTTTCTTGTCTTGATCTGAGGAAATGACAGATGAAGAGATACTTTACAAATCTTGTTAATTAGCAAAAATAGGATATAAACCTAAAAATCTATTTGAGAAAAAAATTGTACTGTTCCACAGAAGGACTACACTAAATATTTATTTAAAGCATGAATCTTTCCCTTAAGAAAGTCTCGAAACCTCATAATTTTTATACTGGGTAAAGATTAAACCTTGACAATGCTAACAATCTGGGTAACTCTTCAAAGAATTAATTCCTTTTTTTTTTAGTTTTATTGGGTTTTAACAATTAAACAATTCTTATTCAACTCTTGTGCATGACTGTGACCATTTACATATCATCACACTAATGTTCTCCTATACTCTATATAATTTTACAAAATCTGCTATCTGTTATTTCCCTTTTTTTCTATCTTCAATCCAATTATACCATTTCTCCCATACTACGTAAAAGTTAGATTGTGCCGAGATGGATAAAATGACATTGGAACTGAAAGGACTGATAGATTCGGACTTTTAAGAATTAATTCCTAAGAATGTGAATTGGCATTCAGACTCTTCTTGTTTAAAAAAAAAATAGAAAAATGGACAAAATATTTGAAAAGTATTTAGTACAAAGAAAATATCTCATCATAACCATGATGCAAGATTTCTTTCTCGCTACTCTTAGTTCTCAGCAAACACTCACCAACTGTTAAACTTTCTACTCCAGGAGAGTTGCTGGGTTGGTTGGTAGACTGCCTAGAAGGAGTGGCCCCTTGAAGAGGCTTTTCAAAGTCTTTAAGGAACTGAGAGTATCCCACCTGCATTCAAGAGAAGAGGGAGAAAAAACTTGCATTAGCTTCATTGACAGCATTTACCTTTTACATGCCTCATTAGGTGGGCCTATAGGATTACTACATTTTTTTCCTCTGGCTTTGGTAGTATCAGCTAAGTCCACAGGGAGCTCATTCTGGCAGGTATGGAAGGGCAAGGAAGAATATTTTGCTTAGGGGAAAATTGACAAAAATATGCAGAAAAAACTTAGAAGAATCCAAAGCTTCAGGAACAATAGTCTAGTAGAGAACCAGAGAAAAATTCAGACAGTGTCACAGGCTCAACTGAGTGAACTAAACTGGGACTCTGATGAGCAAGTGGGCGTGTCTGAAGAGAAAAATTTAAAGGAACACACTCAGTGTAGGCTACTCAACTATTGAACTACCCGAAGCTTTGGATTCTCCAAGCTGCGCGTTGGAGAATAATATATAATTTTAGAAACAAACAGGGCATATGTTAAAGGATTCACATATATAAACATTCTATATAAACATTTCAATGAATGGTAGCTGAATTTCATTATAATCATTCATTATAATCTATATCAATAAAAGTTCATAATATTAATTTTGCAGACCACTGAGGAACCGAGGGCCATATTTCTTTGCAATGCTAAAGAATGCATCTTTTAGCTATAAATAGGAAACAGAACACCTACTTTCTGTATTCAGATATCTAGCTCTATGCAGCAGGAACATAGTTCAAAAGAATCTGAACATATCAAAGTACACGTGCTCACACATCCCCTCAATGGAACAGTTACAAGACAGGGAAGAAATATATATTTATAAGAACCATTAATCTCATTGTAACCTCAATATCACGACATTTATATATTATAATTTTATTATATTATATTTATGCAACTTTTTCTATATAAATGCAAGAATCCAACAAATCTGAAATATTTTTTGGCATTGAATAATACATAATTTAAGATCTAATGAAAATTTTGGTACTGATATTAAAACTATTCCCATGCCCTAGACAAAAGTCCAATTCTTTTTTCCATTCAGCTTTTTAAGTTTCATATCAAATTAATTCACTACAACAGAATTTTATAGAGGGCAATTATAATGGTTTTGGGGTCATAAGATTTAATGTTTGTAGTTGATTATATTTATTAGGCTAAAAATGTTACAGGAACATCAATAGATGTTGTCACAGTAAATACTGCTACTGAGCTGCACTAGCAAAATAATACTTGTCCTGTAATGCAAAAAATAATAAACATTCATCATTTTCATCTACTCATTGCCTACTATTCAATTTTTTCACATAAATTCCCCAATAATTCTGAGATTTGTGTTAGCCCATAGGATCAACTTAGAATGACAAAAAGAACCAAAATGCTACGGTAACAGCATTCTTACCGGGAAAGGCTCTGCCCCTTCTTGAATGACAAAGCCCTCTATGATATGTGTAAGAATCTGAGGCTTGACGATGGCTTGTGGAGGTTTGGAATCTCCAGTCTGACGTGACAACACAGCCAGTGTAGGAACAGAAGAAATTGTTGGATTTGCAGAGTTGGGGTCACTTGGGGATGCATTTAGAGAACTACTGGTGGAGTCAGTCTTCTCTAAAACAGAAACACCATTAACAAACTAAATTTTAAAATTGTATATTTAACAAAAAGGATTTGTTTTATAAAAAATAAATCCACGTATTCATTGTTAAATATAATTCCATGTGGGAATTGCATACACTGTTGAACCTCTATATATTTATTTAGTTGTCATATTATTTGATTGATTGAAATAAAAAAATTGAAACATTGAAAATGATAAAACAAAGCTAAAAAACAAGTAACAGGTGATGTTAATAATAATGGAACCACCTCACTAGTTTGCTGGTCCTCCAGGGTTCTCAGGCATAACCAAGTCTTAAGATTTTTTAAAACTCAGACATGAATTTCAAACATCAGCATCATTATATTTGTTAAACAATATTTAATCCCCTTGCAGAATTTGAAGATTCAATATCAGTTAGGATGGATGATGTAGCAGGACAATTACTGCTCATGACAATTTCTTCCAAGGGAGTCCTCTCATGTTGATCTCAACTTTTTTTTTTTGCATAGTTTTTTATTTTTTAACATGTCAAAGTTTCATTTTCAATTAAACAATGTGTTGTCTGGGTATAAATAGTTTGAAAGATAGTAATCATAATGTTTACAACAATATTCATTACATTGATATTAATTCTATAATAATAAAATAATCATAATATTTACTTCTCTACCTTAACAAATCTCCCTTATTTCATTAATCTTTTTCTTATATTTCCATGTTTCTAACTTGTTTTTATTATCTAACCATTGATAAAATAAATCCCATATCATAAAATATTCAGTTTGTTCCTTTTCTTTAACTGCAAGTGTTAATCTATTCATTTCTGCACATTCTAATATTTTTAAAATCGTATTTTCATCTGTAGGCATCTCTTCACTTTTCCATTGTTGTGCAAATACAATTCTGGCTGTAGTTAATACATGTAGGATCAAATATGTATTCCCTTTATTATAATTATCTGGTAGAATACCCAACATAAATATTTCTGGTTTTGAATCAATATGTTGCTTTATTATTTTTTCCAACCATGTATGTATTTTTGTCCAATATTTTTTTGCTTTTGGGCATGTCAACCACATATGATAGTACAAACCAGGTATCTGATGGCATTTCCAGCATTTAACCAACATATCCTTAAACATCTTTGCCAATCTTGAGGGCGAGAAGTGCCATCTATAAAACATTTGATATAAGTTTTCTTTATATGCAGTTGACATTGTTAATTCGTAATTCCTATCCCATAATTTCTGCCACTTATCTAACTCTATTGTATATCCAAAGTTTTTAGCCCACACTATCATTGTCTCCTTTATTTGCTCATCTTCCATTTTAACACTAAATAGATAACTATACATTTTCTTTATTAGTTTTTCATCTGTCCCTATTAGTATCTGATCTAGTTCTGTTAATTCTTTATAAAAACCATACATTTTAGCATCTTTCTCATATCTAGATTGTATCTGCACTTGTGGCCACCATCTTATATCAATCCCTTGACCACTTGTTTAGTTTTGAGCTCCCCTCTATCATTCAAAATATCTTTGTATCTAGTAATATTTCCCAGATTAATAACGTTTGGATGGATCAGTGCCTCCATTGTGGAGAGCCAGACTGGTATTTTCAAATAATGTTGTTCTTTGATTTTCTCCCATACTAATAATAATGCATTTTTAATATAATGTCTTTGAAAATAACCATGTATTTTGTTTTTCCCATACCATAAAAAGGCATCCCAACCCAGTTGAAGATCATGTCCCTCCAAAGTCAATAATCTTTTATGCCTCAAACCAATCCATTCTTTCACCCAAGTACTGAGGCCTGATAATACAATTCCCAATCTGGCAACCCAAAACCACCTCTATTTTTCAAGCCTTGCAACATTTTCAAGCTTATTCTTGTCTTTTTCCCTTGCCAAATATGTCTTAATATTATTTTATTTAGTTCTTCAAAATATCTTTTTTCCAGCTTTATATGAATTGTTTGAAATAGATACAGTAGTCTCGGCAGGATATTCATTTTTATAGTAGCTATTCTTCTATAGTTTTTATCCCAAAGTTATAATTGCACTCAACAATGAATTAATGGGCCACCATCAGTGAGCTGTTGGACAGCATTACTTGGTCTGTTGTGTGGATGTTTGGGTAGTTTAGGGGTGGGGAATTTGTGGTGGGTAGGGGTGTATTTGGGGATTGTTATGTGTGTCGGACCTGGTCTTTGGGTGCTAAATGAATTTCGTTGTATGGGTATACTGTGTATACATGTACAATGACAATAAAGTTATTATTTTATTTTATTCCTGTCAACAACAGTTGCAGGTTTTTCCACTTCTCCAAGTCTATTTTAATTTGTTGCATCAGTTTATAGTAATTACCTTCTTTAATAGTTACACATCTTGCTTTTAATTGAATTCCTAAATATTTTACTTTCTTAACTATCTGAATATCTATTCTCTTCATTGGCACTTTTTTCAGTGTATCTGTAAAGTTCTTGAACAAAATCTTAGTTTTTTCTTTGCTTATTTTCAGTCCTGCAACTTCACCATATTCTTCTATTTTTAAAAATTAATTTGGGTCCTGTTGCTTGTGGATTTTCTAAAATAAAAACCAAATCATCTGCAAACGCCTGTAGCTTATATTTTTCTTTTTTATTTCCATGCCTTTTATTTCTATATGTTGTCTAATATTTCTGTTTAACATTTCCAATGTCAATATAAATAGTAGAGGGGATAGTGGACATTCTTGTCTTGTGCCTTTTTTATATTAAAGTTCTCTGTCATATCTCCATTTACCATCACTTTTGTCGTTTGCTTGTGATATATTGCCTTAATCATATTGATAAATCTCTCCCCAAAATCCATAGTTTTTAATTGTAATAACATATCAAATGTTATTTATCAAATGCTTTCTGCGCGTCTAGGAAAATCAATGCCATTTATTTTCCAGGGTGTGCTTCATAATACTCTGGTGTGTTTAAGATCATTCTCATATTGTTTTTAATCTGTCTCTTAGGCAGAAATCCATTCTGATCTGAATGTATAAATTCATTCAAAACCCTTTTTAATCTCTCTGCTATTATTGAAGCATATATTGATCTCAACTTCTCATGTCAATTTCTACTCATAGGAATATCACATGCTGATTGAGGACCAGAGGGAACAGTACATTTATGAGTCACGGAGGGGAGAAAATTATATGTGGAAACAAAGCTTGATCCTAATCATTTTCCAAGATTCAGAGGCTTTACTATATTTCTTGATATAGCATCATTAAGATTTTGTTCATGTACAAATGCCTCAATCCCCAACTAGAAAGTAATCTGATGTCTGATATGAATATGGTTTTACACATATGGGTTTGTGTCTACATAATATATATTCCAACAGACTGGCACACACTGTCTTCAATTTATCTTTTCACTTATCGTTTCACTCAGTTTTGTCAGTTGTTTCAGGTAGGCAAAGTCAAGAAACAGACACAAGAAATACTAAAACTCTATTTAGCCTATAACAAAATCTTGAAAATCTGACAGTATTTTCCCTTCCTTCCCTCTTATACCAATAAGACTCAAAACAGGGCAACCCTCTTTCTCAACTATCTGGTTTACTGATGGTTGCTGTATATTTTCTATTTCTCCGTACTCTTCTATACATTCTGAAGGGCATAACAGCATCCTGAAATTAAACTTAATTGCAGTGATTCACTTAATAACTGTGACAAGAAAGGTTGTAAAATGGGGCAAAATTCATTTTACTACTATCTTGCTTAGCAACAGAAATTTTGGACTCAATTGTGGTTGTAAGTTGAAGACTACCTGTATCACCCAGTTTGCAAGATATTGAGTAAAAATGAGATTGCCTTTCCAAAGTCCAGAGCAGGAGACAGATGCTGGTTTTCCCACCAGGAAACAATATAAAAAAGTGTGCTTGAGCCTTTCCTAGATTATTTGGGAATCTGAGAAAAATGCAAAGACAATTAAGTCCTTTTTCAACTAAAAAGTGGAGATAAAAGAAATACTGTACTTTGTTCATATGGTGGGTTCAAAAGTCCAACCAAAACCAGAATAAAATGAAAGCCCTTTGACTTGAGTCACTAAAGAAAATCTAAAATATGAGAAACTTGGGCGAAACTAAGGAATAGGTTTGTGAGCAAATAGAAGAAATGATATTTATTTCATTCTGCAGTCTGTAAAATTTGAAGGTTGTCACACCAATAGAGCACATGTTGAGTGTAGGTCAGAGTGAACTAGAAAACGAACACCGTTCCTACCAAAATGGAGGAAAAAGGTGAAGTATGCTTAGGAAGGCTACAACAAAAACTCCATTAGAATGTAGTCAAGACTTCCCTGAAGAGCCTTGGCTCTTTTCTGAACAACCAAAGGAAATGTCACAAACATATAAAGAAAATTTCAGGACCACAGATCTGTGACTGATATTCCTCTCCTACTTAGTAACTGAAGAATTTATTTATAGCTCCTCATCATTCACATTCAATATCTAGCAATTCAAGAATATTGTCCCAAACTGTTTCATGAACATTGTATACCTTCCATTAAATCTTTATATGTTTGGTCAATTTTCACAACATGTTTTTCTAAATAGCTTCTCAGTTTTCCCCGATCAATTAATTTTTTCGAATATAAATTTTGAAAAAAGTTCCTGACCACTTCACATTTTTCTATTTTTTTATAGCGTCTCATACCCTTATCATCTATCAAGGCTCCAATTACTCTCTTCTCTCTTTTATTTTTCGCCATCCTTGCTAATAACTTAGAGTTTTTATTGCTAAATTCAAAAAAATTCCTATTTAAATATCTCATATTCTTTTTTACCAATTCTATATCTTCTTCTATCAATTTATTTTTTAGCAAATTTAATTCCTCCCAAAAAAAATTTTCTTTAGTAAGCAAAAATTGATTTTCCAATTCTTTAATCTGGCTTTTATCTTTTTCAATTTTATTTTTATAATTTTTATATTTTCTGCTTGATAACTTGATACTTTCCCCTCTAAAC